CCTTCCTGCCTGCAAGGGGACTCTCCACCTGGATCCAGTGCTCCGTGGGATGCTGGCAGCGTCACAGCGAGCAGATTTACAGGTCCTTCCTGGAGGGTTCCAGCCAAGTCGTGCTCGCTCACAGATTTTCCATCTGAGCAGGAGCGAGTTTGTTCCCCCTGCCTGCATCTTGGCTGCCCCCGGGCAGGACACGCGAGAGAGGAGCGTGTGGAGCGTGCGGACGAGGAGCCGGAGCTGGGGGTGTTTGCTCGCTCCTTTCCCTGCATCCCAGGAAGATGCCCATATTGTTTGGTGAGTGATGGGGGCAAATGCATCCTAATGGGCGGGTCTTCCCCCTTGTGATGCTGAAGAAGAAGATGGTGCCATGGAGACATCACAGCACTTGTGAGGTGCTGGATTATGTGTCCAGCCCCATCCCTACCCCAGGAGCTCGCTGAGAGCTGTGTCCCGGAGGTGGTGTGCACATGGGCCACAGACAATGAAAGCTGGGCAGCCACTTTCCACACTTTTCCTTCTGCTGTGCCAACCCTCGGAGCTGTGTTGCACCGTGGCTGGCCTGACCTCTGGCCACAGCATGTCCAGCAGGGGCTGTGGGACTGGGAGGGCTTAATGACAAACTGCCCTGAACTGAACTTTGCCACCGAGGCCTGGCTCTGAGCACAGCCTGTTCCCTGGGGCAGCATTTTCTTCACGTGGAAAAACTGAGGAGGAGCCACCAGTGCCAGCCACCCCTACACCTGTCCACTCCCTGCACAGCCTCCCTGCTGCAGTCCCACCACGGTGCCTGGCTCTCCTGGGGGTTTGAGTGCTGGTCTCTCCAGCTGTTTTCCTGCCTTTTTTTGGTTAGAGCACTTGCTCCTCAGGCACTGCGATACTGCCTCACAGAGGCATTGTGCCTGCTCTGTGGAGGTTCACGTGCTCCACATGAAGTATCTACATGCTTGGCATCTGCATGCAGCCTGCTGGGATGCTCACTGGCCCTGGGTGGGCCAGCAGCCACAGCCCCTTGGGAAGGGGTCGCAGGGACAATGGGGACATCCATTCCAGGTTGCAAGGACAAGTGGGATATCTGTAAACCTGTTTATTGCAGGCGTGACAGTGCTATCGACTGCGCCTGATAACGGCAGGGACTCGGGTACCTTTTAAAGGAGAGAAGCGACAAGTGGATGGTTGGAGCTCCAGATAACGGGCGCCGGGGCCAGGCGGTGACGTGCCGAGCCCTGGTCGGTGGCATGTGCTGCCTGACAAGAGCCAGCTCCTGCCAGCCCCTCGGCACGCTCTTGCTCTGCTCCTCCATCTTCCCATCTCTTGCTAATCCTTCTTAAGCCCCTGTGCTCCCCTTCCCGAGCCGTGTGCTTATCCTGCAGATGCCCTTCGTCAGGGAGGCTGGGTACCCGGCATGTGTGGGCTGTCCCTGCTCCATCTGCAGTTCCTCCCCACCTCAGCCAGCCCTGGGCTCTTTGTGTTGGGGGGTAGGTTTCCCCTGCTGCAGGCAGGCTCCCGTGCAGCCCCAGCAGCCCCAGCTCCCATGTAGCCCCTGCTTGGGATGTAGGACAGCCAGATCCAGGCTGGCAGCCACTGCATATCCAGGAGGGCGGTGGAGAAAAAAAAAGAAAGAAAGAAAGAAATGTTTTGCCAGGTTTTGTGAAAGGCTCCTTCTGTCACATCCCTGAGCAACCACAGGGAACTGCTCCCAGGCCATGAAGGGAAGCTCAAACAGTTTTTCCATTAAACTCCTGCCTAACAGCAAAGACCAAGGCAAAATGCAGGCAGAGCTGGGGCAGCCAGTGGGCAGTGTCTGTCACTTGCACGGGTAGCAGGTGGCTGCTCTGCCGTTTGTAACCAACCAGCACCTGGTTGTGGGTGTGTCTGGGGGTGCAGGAGCTTTAGGGGGTGACAGAGAGCTGCAGCGTGTCACCCTGGGGTGACCCTGTCATGGGGGACAGGGGGCTGGGCATGTGGGTGGTCTGCAGGCCATGCATAGATCACTGACCTCTGGGCACACCCAGCCAGCAGCAGGGGTTTTTGCCTTAACCTTTTTTATTGGGTACTTTTTCCCCTCAGTCTCTTCTTGCCCTGTAACAAATCCAAAGGATCCTAGGTGCCAGAAAACATGAGAGAAGAGGAATGCTGTCCAGCTCCAACTCCCCACATGAGCAGCTCTGTCTGGGTCCATGAGTTTTTGTGGTATGCATCTGAGGGAAGAAGAAAGAGCTGAGGGGCGTCAGCACAGGGAGGGGGATAGAGGTGAGCCAAAGGAGAAGCAGCCTGAGGGGAGTTATTCCTTATTTATTCCTTACTTTCCCTTAATCTCTATGCAAAGCTCTCTGACCTGCCCTAGGCAGAGGTCCCAGCCTCACGCCTTTTGCAGGCTCCCAGTGGAGCTACAGACACTGGCTTTAGGATGTGGGCTTGCTTCAGTCTCAGTCCCATCTGGAAAGGATGTTGTAGGGATGTGGCTCCTGCTCCACTCTGTGCAGCACCCCTGAGGGAAGGGGCTGAGTTAGAAGCTCCCACTTTATTGGGGAGGGGGATGCTGGGCTGCCAGCTGCTCAGTGGAGGAAAGCCCCCTCACGCCCCCGATGTGGGTAATTGAGGGCACAGCCAGATCAGCAGAGCTTCAACATCAGTGCCCTGTGGAGTGATGTGTCTGGGCCAGGGAGCCAGCTGGCCATGGCAGCTCAGGAAATCCTGAGGCTGCCTGGGGCTGGTGCCATTGGAGGAAAATGGGTCACCTACGTCCATGGGGGTGAGGGCTGGGGGGATGGTCCCCTAGGCCAGGACACCCCTGGGCACTGCTGCATGCCAGAAACCTCCCAGGGCTGCTGAAAGGCAGCTTTGTCACCCACTGCCAGGGAAACTCCAGCTCAGCCCTTGGGCAGGGATGAGGGCCCATAAATGCCTGATGTAAAATGCATCCTTTGGTGAAAATTACTCCCCAGTCTGTCCCCTGTCTGGGGAGAGGCACAGCGAGGTCAGGGGTGTCCCTCGTGTCACTACACCACTGCCCACATCCTGCATCCCCCTGGCAGCAGGCTGTCCTGTGCCTGGCACTGGGTGTCCTGTCCCCAGAGAAGCTGGGCTGTCCCTGCTTGCTCAGTCAGTGCCACCAAAGTCACCTGTCCCAGAGACAGCCCTGCCCTCAGTGCAGGAGCATGTCGAGCCTAAATCAGGGCAGATTAAGACACGACCAGCTAAAGCCACTTTGCTCCTGAACGAGCATATCCGCTTGGGATTTAGCGCATTTGCAGACAGGGATTCACACCTTTAGGTGATTTGTCTTAATTCCCCCCAGCTTCTGTGTGTGAAAAGCCCTTGGCCGGTGAGAAAAGCCCTTGGCCGGTGAGAGCTGGGCTGGGTGCTCGTTCTGCAGCGTGGCAGAGCCCAGGCTTTCTCCTGTGGCCGGCCCACACATGCTATTGGGTGGATGCAGCCTCCTTCCTCCTCCTCCTGCCCCCCAGCCCCCACGGCTGGGAAATCAGCTGAAATTTTCTATGGATCTGGAGAATTTAGACAGCAGACCCTTTTCAGAATGTCCCTCACAGTGCAGGAGAGGAGCTGTTGCAGGCACAGGGATGCTGCCGGTGCTGTGCTGGCACCTGTCTGCTGCCATGGGCTGCTTTAAGGCTGCAGATACACTGGGTAGCACAGAGGGACCCACTAGAGCGCCGTGGGGCTGTGCTGAAAGGGGCAGCTGGTCTCCCAGAAATCGACAGCTCCAAAAAACCCCCAGCTTTTGTCCTACCCTGGTGGCTGCTGGCCTGGGCTGGGACATGTTGGCTCCGCTGTGGGACACACAGAGCTCAGCTGCCCCTCCCAGGGGCTGTGAGGGGCTGGGGCGCCCTGGAGGCACCGCTGCCACCTGCCCTTGTGCAAGGACCCCGCAGGCCACAAAGCCACACATTGTTGTGACAGCAGCTGGGCGAGGAGTGACAGGGATGCCTGGGCTTTTCAACCCAGCAGGATGCATGAGCGATGGAGAAACCCACTATCAAGCATCCCTGTCCTGTCACCCCCATGCAACTCGCCGGCAGGGTTACCCTGTCCCATCCCGGAGCCTCAGATTCCCTTCCCAAGCCTGTCGTTGCGCCAGGGGCCAGGCAGGCGCTTGGCAGCTGCACCAGCTGCCGGCAGAGAAAGGAGGAATTCTATGACAATGGCGGCGGAGCAGAGCCAGGCTGTCGGCTGATGAATAATACAAGAGCTCTGCTTGCGGAGCGGCAGATGTCCTGTTTACCAACACCCGGCCACAGCCTGCGGGATGATGGTGCAGGGACGCAGCCCCCAGAGCACCCCAGTCAGAGGCCCTGCTGCCCCGCTCACTTTCTCGGGACACCCCCTCCCCTGCGCCCCCCACAGCCCTCCCCGTGGGGCAGGATCTGGCCGGGCGGGCACAGCGGGGCTCCCCCGGGTGCAGGGGTTCTGCACCCCACCATGGGTCTGTCCTGCCTCGCCATGGCTTCACGGATCCTTGAGCATCCCTTTGCAGCCGGAGGGGTTTTTGAGATGGGAGTTTCCATGGCAACGGAGCGGGATGGCGCCAGGAGCCGGGGGGCGCGGGCGCTGTGGCCGGACAGCCGAGCGGGGCTGGGGCGGGTCCAGGCTGCGGGGTCCCGCGGGGGCGGTGGGAGATGCCCGAGCCCCTCTGCGGGGGATAGCCCGGGGCCGGCACCGTCCGCTCACACCCCGGGGGCGGCTGCTGGCCGGAGGCAGCCGGGGGGGCTCTCGGCCGGTGCCTTCGGGGCCGCTAAAAACCCATAAGTCGCGTCGCTTAATTGCAACTTGTTTATCTTTTTTTTTTTTTTTCCCGGGCAAGGGCAGTCGGGAACACGCGCGTGCTGACTTTGGACTTTGCGGGTGGGGGACAGGACAGCGGGGGTTCTTTTCGCCCACCAGGACCGGGCACCTGCTGCGCTGGGCCCGCAGCCGGCCGGGCCGAGCCGAGCCGTACCGGGCCGCACCGCGCCATCGGGAGCCCGTCCGTGCCGGGCCGGGCCGGCGCTTGTCGGGCGGCCCCGCCCCAGCTCCCCCCGGGCGGCGGCGGCGGCGGGGCCGGTGGGCGGGGGCCGGGCGGAGCGGGGCGCACGGCGCGGCACATCACAGCACGGCTCGGCACCGCGCGGCTCGGCTCGGCTCCGCTCTCCCGACATGGCATCCAAGTGCCCCAAGTGCGACAAGACCGTGTACTTCGGTGAGCGCATCTCCGGGGCCCGGCCCCTCATCCCCTTCCCCGCGCCCAGACGCATCGCCGGGACCTCAGCCCGGTTCCCCTGCCCAGAGCCGGCGCTCATCCCTGCCTTCCCCTTTCTCGAGTCCCGGTGCATCCCCGCCTCCTCTTCTCTTTTTCCCCCTGGGATGTGTCCCCATACCCGCCCTCCCCATGGCCGGCGCATCTCCCGGTTCCCTCTCCGGACGCACCCGGAGACCTGCCCAGCAGCAGCTGCTTCTCCCTCGGAGCCCCCCGGCAGCGGCCGCGAACCCTCTGCTCTGCCCCTCCGCCCCCCCGGACCCTCATCCCCGGGCTGTGCCTGGGGGTGCTGCTGGCTGGCCCTGGGACAGGGGACCCCGGGCACCCTCCCGTGCTCCCTGGTTCGGACACGTGCCCGCAGTCTGAAGTGCTGAGAATGGGGTGGTTCATGTCCCCAGGTACCTGCTGGCTTGGGTCAGGGGAGCCCAGCCCACCCGACACGGCCGGGGTGCTGGGCAGGGGGAGCCCATGATCCAAGGGTCTCTTAGGGAGGAGAAGCCGGCGGTAGCAGGTGCAAACAAAACCTTCTCCCAGACAGTTTCTTTGATTCCCTGCAAGCCTGCCCCCAGGTGTGCCATTCACCCCTCCCTGTCTGGCCTCGCAGCCAGCCCTCAGCGGCTTGTTCCCATCTGGCGAGATAATTAAGGGTTTTGGGGTTTGTACGGGACTTGTTCAAAGGCAGCGCCTGGGCTCAGAGGTCCATCTTGACACGCCCGTGGCTGGGTTAGGGCAGCAGCGAGTCCCTGGAGGTCTCCGAGGGCCCTGCTTGGGGTTGAGGCTGGTCAGGATCTCTGGGAACCGGGGCTGGGATGTGTCCTGTCGGGCACCCCGGGCTGAGCGCCGCCGCCCGGCTTGCAGAAAGCCGGGAGTGGGTGGGTGGAGGTGGGAGCAGGGGCTGGCCCTTTGTGCCTCCCTGACGCTCCCCATGGAGCTGCCCCAGCCTGCTTCCCCCTGAGCGGCGGTGCCCGGCCAGGAGCTTCCCAGGGAGTGACCTGACCCCTCTGGGTGAGCACCCTCGAGGTGGGCACCCATGGGACTGTACTGCAGGCTCAGGATGGATCCAGCACTCCAGCCCAAGTTGCCTCCTGGGACCTGCTGGCCACGGAGTCCAGCTGGCCTGGCACTGCCTCCCTGCCCCCCTCCCTGCCCATCTCCCCGCTGTGCTCCGGGGTCCAGCCCCTGTTGCCTCAGTGCGTTTGTTTGGTGAAGAAATGCCAAAAGATCCTGATGGTGCCTGAGCATTGGAGGCACTGGTGCTTTCATTCCTTTCCGGCCATCTCCAAGTAAACACAGGGAAATAGGAATTTGCTGTCTTCCTCCTTTAAATAAACCTATTTGTGTGGGGGTGGGAAGGGCTCGGCCCCTTGGATGTCTTTCTTTGTGTGAATCTTTTCCCTTTTAAGCAGAAAATAGTGCCCGCCCAGCCAGCTGGGCACTGACCCGGGGTCAGAGTTGCTCCTCTCTCTCCAGGGATGAGCCTGCCCTTCGTGGGGGGTTGGGGCTGGGCTCTGGGACCCCCCCCCACCTTGCCTGCGGAGGTCGGGCTGTGCCAGGAGGTGAAGCAGCAGCCCCCAGCAGTGCCTGTGCTCTTTCTCTCTCCCTGTGCTGGGGGCCTTGTGGGTCTCCTGAGGGGGTGGAACAGGGCTGTACCCCATGTTCCCAGCTGCGTGCCAGCTCTCTCTCCCCAGAAGGGTTTCTGTAGGTGCTGTAGGTTTCTGTAGGTCTCTGTTGCTTTGGGGCTCCCTGTTCCTGCCCTGCAAGGGGTGGACACCTTGCCCTACAGGCAGGGAGGAGGCAGGTGCCTGGCAGCAGAGGAGTGGCAGCCCCTACCCCACACCTTCCCCCAGGAACTGTCACCCCTGCTGCCCCTAAGAGAGACTGGGGCGAGTGAGTTGAAACGGGAGCAAGCCAAAAACTTCTCTGTGCTTGGAGCTGAGATAGGCTGGAGCATGTCCCTGTTGATGCCTTGAGCTTTTCCTTGAGGAACCGCCCAGGCTCTGGCAGAACAAACCTAGGTCCGTTTATTCAATGCATAAAAGCTAGATGCAAACTCTGAGCCGTCTTTCCGGGACGCGGCCCCTGGGCTTTCCTCCTGATGGACCGCGTGGTTTGGTGGGAAGGTGATGGCAGCTCTGTGTCCAGGGTTTGATATCACTTGTGAATTCCTCGGCTCGCCCGAAGCTTAACGGGGAGGTGATTCATAAAGCCCCGCTTGTTCGGGAGTCTCCTTGCCTGTGCTGAATGAACGCTGGCAGCTCGTAACTTCTCGAATGCCTGGGATTGCAGCCGTGGGTCATGTGTGAGAAATGCCACCGTGTCCTATTCTCAGCCCCGTGCAGTGCCAGAGAGGCTGCCCAACGCCAGCAGTCGTGGGTACCTATGGAAAACTCATTTCCAGCATGCCTGTTGCTTCATGCTCCCTGGAAAAATCCAGCGGGCTCCTCCCTGTGCAGTCAGGAGGATGTGGGCGTTTCCTGAGCTACAGAATGAGCTTTTTTTCTTTAAAAAGCACAGGGAAATATAAAAATAGTTTTCTGGCTTTTTTTCCTTTTTTTCCTTTTTTTTTTTTTTAAAGCAAGCTGAGGTCTGTGACATTGTTTCCAGGAACGGCCAGGGCTAACTTTCCCGCTTTGGGGAGGTTGGCGGGATGAAGTGAATGTTTAACTGGAGGAGCAGCACTGCTGGCGGCTGCAGGATCAGCTCCCATCGCGCTGGCAGGTGGCAACAGCCTGGGATTGGGTTTAGGTTATCACTTCTGGCAGGAAGCTCCGGAGGGACTGGAGTCTCCTGCAGCCACATTTCCCTGGCTCCCTTTTGCATTGCTAGCCTTAAATGAGTTTTGCAGGGTCACCGGGAGCCCTGGCCAAGCCTTTCCGCCTCCTGTCCTTTCTTCCCAGGGAACTGCGGGGGATTGCAGCAGCAGGGGGTTTCCTATTTTCCCATCCCAAGCACAAGGCAGGGAAAAGCCCTTGGGATGTGGCAAGCACACGTGCAGCGGGGTCCAGCAGTGGGCGGCTTTTGGGGAGCTTGCTGCACGTGCTGGGGAGTGTGAGGGCTGGTGGGAGGCTGGCTGCACTATTTGTTTGGAAAGGGGCATCCTAAAAGCAAATGGGAGTCACTCAGTGCCCTCCAGGCTTGTCCCAGCTGTGTCTGCAGCCATAGATTGGGTTGCTGGTGGAGTGCCAGACAGGGTCTAAGGACATGGACACATCCAGCTGGGAAGCAAGGAGGGTCCAAGCCCAGCATGCTTCAAGGGGCCTGCAGCAGATGCCTGACCCTGTGGTCACGCTTGGAGTGCGGCAGGACACGGGGTGCCATGAGGTGTAGGGTGCTCTCCCTGCAGAGCACTGCATTGGCAGGTCAGCCCAGCGAAATTCAAGCTGCAGAAGCTGCTCTGCAATTAATAAGTAACCGCTGTCCTTGGCTCCAGGCACTGGCTGTTGGGAGACGGTGGGGCAGGAGAGGCAGGAGGGCTTGATTTCCTTTACAGCTGTCCCTAACAAAGGAAGTGGCTCTTCAAGTGCAGCCGGTGTAGCCATTGGCATGGCCCTGGCTCACCAGCACGGAGCTGGCTGGGCTCCTTGGAGAACCCTCTGCTCCCATGTCTCGGGGTGGCTGCTCTCGGAACAAATGTGGACCTTGCAAAGTGGTAACTAAGGATGCTCCAGTTCTCTGCTCCCTGCGCAGGGCCCTGCTGGGGGGAGGGATGCCTCTGTGGGAAGCTGAAGAACAGGCTGATTAGCGTGAGCTTTTCCCTCAGGAAAATAGCACGAGCTGTAGAAAATGATCTGTGAGAGGGTGGAATGGGATGGTGTGAGTTCTGGATCCCCTCACTCATGTGTGCTGTGCTTTGCTGGAGCTGCTGGGGCTCCTGCACAGTGTGGTGCTGGCATTGCCAGCTGTTGGGAGCAGTGCTGCTCCCAGTGCCATGGGTGCTGGAGGCTTGGGGCTAGCAGGCTGTTCTCTGCAAGCCTGGCTAGTCCTGAGTGACCACCGTTTGTTGTCTGGATTATGAAGTCCTGCACCCATATCTCAACTCCTAGACAGGCAGAGATCTTTGTGTTCCTATCCTCCTTCCCTGTCCCTGGCAGGAGCACAGGGATGGGGAGAGGCGAGGTGATGGGACTGGAAAGGAAAGGCAAGGAAAGGCGGAGCAGGAACGCCTAAGCAAGAAGTAATGGAAAATCTGTCACTGCAATGTTGCAATCGAGTGCAGAGCCTGGAGTGTGTGCCATGGTGCCATTTTTGGCTATGGTGTGATGGTGGTGCCCATTGCTCCTGCCAAAGGTCCTGAAGCAACCAGGGAGGTGATGGTAGGGGATAGATCCTTGCATGTGGATAGAGAACTTTCCCACCAGCTTGATGTGCACTTGCTGGTGGGGAGCACCAGTGCTTTCTGAGCATCCTCTCCCCCTGCTGTCTCTGTTGCCCACAGCCCAGGGCCAAGCCTTGTTTGGAGTTGGGGGGAGACCAGCAGGGTGGGGAGGTGAGTAGTCATGGGGCTGGAGTGGCACTTTGACAGGCTTAGCTGCTCCAGCATGTCCCAGAATCCTACTCTTGCCAAATGGGCCAGGAAGCTGTTTCATCCCCCTGGCACTGCTTTCCAGAGATGGCATCTCACTGTGCAGAGGGAACACAGTGCTCTGGACCAGCAGCTACCCAGGGAGTGGTTTGCTTGTGTGCCTGTGTGTGCCCCCCTCTCACTGGTCACTCTGCCCCCCTGGCCGTGTGGTGGGCAAGGGAAGCACCGCTGGCTGTCAGGCTCCTGCTGCTGGCTGGGGTCCTGCTTGCTGTGCCTCCCATGTGGGGCCACTGTGCAGCTGGAAAGCAGCTGATTTTTTAGGCTCAGCCCTGGCTGAACCCAATGCCTGGCTGGAAACACTGCTGGTCCTCTCCCAGCACAAACACATACACAGTTGAGCTGCCTGACCTCAAATGCATTCCATGCAGATGCTGCTTGATGAAGCCCTGTGGAAAATGGAGAGGGACTTGCTGGAGGCTGCCCTGGTCCTGTGAACCAGAGCAGGAGGTTGGAGGCTCACAGCCAGAAAAGTGCCTGCAGTAGGTGAGGTTCTGTCAGAGGAGAGGCAGGAAGCAGTGGGGTGGACAGGAGCCATGCTGTGCATTAGGGCTGCACCTGGAAATCAAACAACTCTCCCTTGCACCCGAGTGACTCAGCTACATGGGGGCTTGGGTCCTGGGGAAGATCTTGTCTCTCCAGTTGGCTGGAAGCGGGAGCCTCTGCCTGGGATATTCCTTGTTCCCCCCTGGGCTGTGCTCTGTGGTGAGGCTGTACTGAGCTGGCTTTGTTGTGCACTTGGAGGGAGCCCAGCAAGTGAGTGGCTGGGGCTGGAGGGCTGCCTTGCCTTGCCTTGCCTTGCCTTGCCTTGCTGCAGGGAAGCTAAATATATATGTCTTGGCCACAAAATCACGGTGCGGTGTAACCGTCAGCACCAGCTGTGGGATGGGGGAGAGGAGCTGCCTGGCCATGCCTGAGGAGGGCAGGGGTGAGGACAGGGTGAGGGACATGGGAAAGCAGTGCAGACCCTTGGCAGGGCAGCATGGCTGGGATATGGCCCGGCATGGCAGGAAATCCTTAAGCTGTCCCTCTGCGTTTTTCCTCTCCCGGCCACTTTGCGAGGAACAGGGGAGGGGATGCGGCTGCCGGCTGCCCTGGTTCTCGGCTTTGTTTTCATTTACCCGGCTCCTTTCCCTGCACTTTTCTCTTTTATTCATTCCTTTGTGTTCCCAAGCAACTTGCTCGTGTTCCCAAGCAACTGCTTTGAAGCGCATCTGCTGTCGGTCTGAGAGCATCCCTCTCCTCCAGGGATGCCCGTCGCTGGATCCCTGTGAGGATTTGGCATCCTTATTGTGAGACTGGGCTTTGTCAGCCCTTCCCTCTGCCCTTCCAGGGCTGTGGTGGGATGGATGGGGCACAGCCCAGCCCTTTGCAGAGATGCAGCTGCAGCTATGGTTGCTTTTGCTGAATAAGCCTCTGGCTGGGAGCAGTGCTGACATCAGGCTGTGGAAATACCTGTGCAAGGGCCTGGAGCTGGCTCGGCAGGGCCGGCGGCGCAGAAACTGGAAGGAGGGATGCTCCCTTCCCATCCCGAGAAGATGCGCTCACCTCTGGCCAGCGCCAGCTGCCTTGTCTGGGCAAGGCAGATAATTACGGGATGAGCCGCGTTGTCTCTGGGGTGGGGCTGGCGCGGAGCTGTGGGAACAGTCTGCCTTGACAGTCCCCTCGGCTGCTTTCTCGCTCCTGGCCTCTGATTTTACCCATCTCTGGTGCTGTCCCTTGTCAGTGTGGGCTACACCCCCCGCGGAGCAAATCCTCCTCACAGCTACATCCTGCAGCCGGGCACGTACCCGGCCCTGCCTCCACCTCTCCGCGGGGCATTTCTCTTGGGAAAAGGTTTATTACGGATGGGCACCCAGTGCCCACCCACGGCGAGGTGGGTAACCCAGGGCTGGCAAACCCCGAGTCACACACGTGTGGCAGAGGCGAAATTCCTGCAGCCAAGTACCCTTAACTCTGCCCTTCCGGAGGGTGCTGCACAGCTGATTAAAATTCAGCTGGCTTGAGTGCAGCATCTCGCCATGGGCTGAGTGTGCAAGTGCGGGATCCAGCAAGCAGAGCAGGATGAGCGTGCACTCTGTGTGTTGCTGGGAGGACGGGGGCATGGCATTCAGTGGCAGAGTCTGGGTGTGGTGCGACATCTGCACCGGAGCCCGCAGAGCTGGAAGCAGCCCGGGCACTGCTTATCCTCAGGCTGCTTTTGCAGTGCCGATGGTGGGGTGCGGAGCGGGGCTCCCCCCAGCAGCAGGAGGATGTGGCCAGAGACTTTTCCTCTGGAGCTGATGCAATGGTGGAGCAGATGTGGCCGGGTGACAGGAAATCTGGGCGCTGGTTCTTTCCCTCCGCAGTGATTTATGGGATGCCGTGGCCGCGGGCGGAACGCCGCTGCCCTGGAAATGGGCTGGGGTGGCTCCAAGCTGCTTCCTCTGCTCGACTCGAACAATGCCTCCTGGAAAGCCATCCCGGCTGTGCCGGTCCCGCACGCGTCCCCCGGGAGTCCTTGTTTGCAGCCTTGTTTGTTGACCATCCTCTGCGTGGCGTTTCCATCCGGAGGCAAGGGGCAGCCCCCGTGGTTCCCGGGCTGTCCTTGTGCCCCGGGAGCAGGATGGGGCACTGAGCCACCTCCTCCCTCCTGCCCCATCTCCAGCCAGGGACTGTGGTTGCCAGTGGCATCCCTCTTACCCTGCGCGGCCCGGGGATGCCTTGGCTGGGGGTGCATCCGTTAGGGGGGAGCAGGGATTTACAGCTGCTAAACATTATGGAGGGGGGACGTTGGAGGAGCACCTCCTATCGCGGGAGCAGGAAGGAGCTGGTGTGGGCCGTGACCGGCTGTAATTGCAATGACCTCTGGAAAACATCCGACCGAAGCTTCCTCCTTGCTTTGTACCCAGGGCCATGAAGGCGCTGGGTCGCGGTGGCGGGGGGAGCTGGGGGTGACGCAGCCGCAGCGCAGCCTGGCCTGGCTGTGCATCCACTTTGACAAAGCCGAGTGGTTCTTTGGCCCCGAGCCCCTGGCTCAGCTTTCAGCCCATCACGCTCTGTTTCCCTCCCCGGTCACCCTGGGGAGGGACCTGATCCTGCCAGGGAGGGCTGGGAGGATGCAGGGCTCCTGCAATGGCCCCACGGCAGCAGCACGCTGGGACCTCTGTGTCCCCCTTGCTTTTGGGGAGTACTTGTAGCCTGGGGGTGGTCCTCTGTTCCCAAAGACAGATAAGGGCTACAGAGGAAAGGAAGGGCCCCTTCCTCATGTGCTGCCTGCTGTGAGGGGCTGGGAGATATGAGCCCTCCTGAGTCCCTGGGCTTGGGGCCAGCAGGAATTTGCCCTGGCAGCTTTTGGCAGGCAGGCACAGACCCTGGCTGTTGTGGGGCATCCCTTCACCCTGCTCTGTGCTCCCACCTGGGTTTGATCCAACAGCCTGGACCCATCTGTGGCATCTGGAGGGTGGGTCTGGAGCTTCTTCCAGCTGATACCAGTCCCCCAAGTCCATCTTCGACGTGTTTGCTTGGGGATACTCTCAGGGGTCTCCCTTGCACCCTGGTGCAATGACTCTGGCTCTGCCCCCTAGTGCTGCCCTCCCCTGCTACTGGCCACCCTGCTGTGTGCTGGAATTGAATTTTTGGGTGGTGATGGCATTGTTTCAGCTTATCTTGGCCCTGTGGCGTGCCCTGGACACAGCTGTTTGCCTTGGGAGGAGGGTGGCTCTGGAAGCCAGGACCTGCCCTCGAGGAGCTCTTGACCCCCATCTTGACCTGATGCAAACAGGTGACATTTGCTGAGGTCCTTAGAGGGGAAACCCGACATCCCAGAGGAGGTCTTCTTGTAGAGTGGGGCTGGCTCTGATTGCGCTTTTATTTGCTTGTTAAGTATTTTATTTGGCCCTCCTGATTTAGTTTTACGGTGGCTTTAACGGGCTCACACTGTTTTCCAGCTGTCTCTGCACATGTGCGGGGGGGGGGGAGGGCAAACAGGAATTGGTGGTGGGCACAAGGCAGCCCTCGACCCCCCAGGAGCTGAGAGGGAGAAGGGATGGTGCGAGGCTGGGGATGCAAGGAGCACTGGCAGCCTGTGCTGCCTCCCAGGGTGCGTCTGAAGACGTACAGCTTGGGGCCAGCCAGAGGGATTGTGTTCCTTATAACCAGTTTCAAAGCATTCTCAAAGCCCTCCCTGAATTTGCCCACTGATACTTTGAAACTGTGTTCAGTGCCAGCAGAGAGTTGCTCCGCAGGTTCCTGGCCATGCATGGATGGTGTCTACGCACCCATCTGCACGTTGTGCCTATTCCCGGTTGGGAAGTGAGGGGGAACACCCACATGCCCAAGGGACAGGTGTTTTCCAGGGCCAAACGTCCATCCTGGGTGACAGTGGAAGCTGTCTATCATCTTGTCCTCCTGGGAACAGCTTGGGCTGAGGGCTGGAGCTGTGGCTGAGGCTCCCTGGGCAGCCTGAGCAGCTGGAGGTGTGTGGGAGGCATGACTAAAACGGGCGGGGTGGGCATGGAAACGCTAAATATTTGAATGGGAGCAGAGTCATTCTGGGTAACGTGGCGGGTAAAAATAGACACAGGGAGTAGGAAGGAAAACGCTACCGTTGCTGGACTGGTTCATGGGAAAGGGTGTCTGTGGTATGACAGCTGGGTGGGTGTCCTGGCTTCAGCAGGGATAGAGTTAATTTTATTATTAGTAGCTGGTGCAGTGCTTAGAGGGGGTCAGAGGCTGGGGGGGCTGTGTCCATGTCCCTCACGGCTGCAGGGACCCTGGTCCCTGCAGTGTGGCTGATGTGTGCAGTGTGCTGGTGATCAGCCCCTGTCAAGCACAGCACCCCTCACTTGCAGCCCCCTGAGGTGCCTGGAGCCTGAGTTCCCCAGGGGCTTTAGCAGGTGCTGGATGGCAGCTTACCCCTCGCTTCGTGTTCCCTGCAGCCGAGAAGGTGTCCTCCCTGGGAAAGGACTGGCACAAGTTCTGCCTGAAGTGTGAGCGCTGCAACAAGACCCTGACCCCGGGCGGGCACGCTGAGGTAAGAGCTGCTGGGGCAGACGGGGTGGCATGCTGTTGCTGGCATGCAGGGGGAGCCTGGTAGGCTCTCCAGCACCCCAGCGATGGAGACTCCCAGGAATAGGGCTGGGGCGGGTATTTGATGCCATGTGGGTGAGCTGTCCGTGTGGCATGCAAGCCCAGGGCTGCATGCTGTGGCTTCAAACGCTGCTGCTGCAAAACATGGTGCTCCAGAGCTCTTGTGCACAGCCCTGGAGAAGCCACAGAGTGGTACTGGCACCACATGTAGTGTCCCAGCTGTGCCACTTGGGTGTGGGCTCCCAGCAGCTGTGGCAGGGCTGGGCATACCTTGTAAGCACTGGAAACGGCTCTGTGGACTGGACAGGCTTGTTTGAGCATTGAAGGCGTGTGGGTGCTGAGAGCCTGAGCTGACCTGTGGTTAAAAACACCAAGCACGGGGATGCCTGGGTTGTCATGGTGATGCAAGCTTGGCAGTTGTGCTCTCTGTGCCCTGGGGCTTGTGCTGGAGTGTGCTGCCACTGCCACTGCCCGGCACTTGGGAGCGTGAGGGTGCCATGCTGGCGGTGGCAGGTGCTCAGGCTTGGGAGCAACTGTGTTTTTCCTGTGTGACACCCCAGCATGACACCCAGTGCCCTGAGTTTGCGCAGCACCTGTCATGCCGCAGTGTCACCAGCTCTTTAGCATGGTTTTAGCAGGCAGCACAGCTGGGGAGCAGGTGGTGGTAGCAACAGCTAGTGGGGGAAGTGAGGCCTGTCTTGCCAGGGAGAATGGGGCTGCATGGGTGGATCTGTGCTTCAGGCCGGGTTAAGCCCAGAATTGCTGCTTCTCCATATAAGGTTGGATTCTGCTCCCATGGGGAATGGCAGCCAAGCCCCCACCGACTGTGCTGACAGCAGATTTGGCCTTTCCCTGCTTTTTCTCCCTCCTTTTGGAGGCTAGGTTGGAAAGGTGTCACAGGGAGACCAGCTAAATGTTTACCCTCTCCTCTGGCATGGTAACGCTGCAACTATACTGATATTTATGCCTTGCAATATTTTATAGCTGCCTTTGGCCAGCCCACAGCCTGCTCACTCCCCCAGCCTTACCTCCAGCCATCCCAACCCTCGCCTTTGGCACAGCACTGCACAGGGAGGCGAGGGAAGGGACAGCACCTCTGCTCACCTACCACCCTGCCCATTTTGGGCAAGGAGTCCTTGCCTTGCAGCAGAGGGGATGGAGGGCAGGAGCACAGGGCAGAAGCAGGGCTGAGATGCTGAGTGGAGCCGAGCAGGCAGTGGTGGGGTGTGTTCCTGCCTGAGAACAGGCTTCTAGTGGGTTTTCTAGACAGAGCAGTGTGTATGGCAGCTCTGCTGGCCCCCTGCTTCAGTCACAAACACTCTCTCTTTTCTCTTGGACTCTGTTCCAGCTGGCCCATGAGAAATGGCTGTGGGGAGCTCCGGGGCTTATCGCCTGCCTCATGCCTTCCTGTGATAATCGCCCCAGACGATAGTGGGGCCGATAGCAGCTGGGCTGGGACCAGTGCCCATGCAGGGCCTCTGATCTCAGGCCAAGGCGAGGGGGAGGCGAAGCTCAGTTCTCTCATGGTGCTTTGTGCCCCCAGTAATGGCCTGACTGTGCACAGGATGCTGAGAGGGCGAAGTGATGCCTTGTTGGGTCCCAGTGGGACACCGCTGGGTCGGGGCTTAAAAATGCCTCTTGGCTGAGCTGCTGCAAGGTGCTGGTGCTTCAGCCCCATGGCATGGCACACACAGAGCAGCCTGAGTGTTTATACTGCTGGAATCTCTGAGTGGTCAGGTGAGGCTTTCACTTCAGACCTGCAGCTGGGTGTGTTTTGGGGTGTTGGCAGAGCCATGGTGGTCTCTCAACACCAGTGGGGGATGAAAGCAATCCTGTGGGAACTGTGGTCACTGCTCAGCATCCTAACACTAACCCTCTCTCCCCAGCACGATGGGAAGCCTTTCTGCCATAAGCCCTGTTACGCTACGCTCTTTGGCCCCAAAGGTACGTCCATGCCCCCCCAAACCTGTGCAGCTGTGCTCAGGGCTGCAGGAGGGGCCAGGTCCCCTCAATCCCCACTGGCAGCCCCAAAAACATCCCAGGAGCCAGGCTAGCATGGGCTGAGCATCAAGCCAGCAAATTGCAGTCCCAACCCTGCTGTTCCCTTGTGCAGAGGGAGAGGAGAGCTGCTGGAGAGGAAGGGAGGGAGGGAGGGAGGAAGGAAGGAAAGAAAGGAGGGAGGGAGGGAGGAAGGAAAGAAAGGAGGGAGGGATCCATCCCGACAGCTGCCTTTTTTTTTTATGTAGAAAACAAATTCCCATTCAGACAGAAGGTGGAGTCACTCTCCTATCCCAGATGTGGCTGGAGAAAGCCTGGGTCAGGAGAAAGCAAGGCGGGGCTGAGATGCAGCAGTGACTGAGCTGGCCCTCGGCTCAGTGAGCCTGAGGGAGGAGGGACAGGGGGCTGGGGGGAGGATGGCGATCCCGAGTGCTCCCAGGTCATCGCAGTCTCTTTCTGCCCCTGTGCAGGGGTGAACATTGGCGGCGCCGGGTCGTACATCTATGACAAGCCGCAGATTGAGGGGCAGACTGCGCCGGGACCCATCGAGCACCCGGTGAAGGTGGAGGAGAGGAAGGTGAATGCTGCACCTCCCAAGGGACCCAGCAAAGGTGAGGGACAGGACAGGACAGACAGCCTGGCCCTTCGCCATATGGGCAGTCAGTCCAAAGCCACCTCATTTGGCAATGGTGTGGGGTGCAGTGTTTGTGTGGGGGGACCTTCCACACCTCTGTGTCCTGGCTGAGATGTCCCACCACTTCCCATGCCCATGACCTCTTTTTTTCCAGCTTCCAGTGTCACCACCTTCACCGGGGAGCCCAACATGTGCCCTCGCTGTGGCAAGAGAGTCTACTTTGGTAAGGTGGTGAGCAGGCAATGGGTGATGCCTCGGAGTGGCATGGCCCATGGTGCTGGGGCTCTGTGCAGGACCCTTGGGGCATGCAGAGTGGCTGGAATTGGGGCTTAGGGTTGGGACTGCAGAGGGATGTGCCTGAGGAGCCTTCAGGAGTGGGTCCTCTTGAATGTACTCCTGGGTGCAGGGCTTTATCTGCATCGTATCCTCTGCTGTGACCTCCCACCAAGCTGTCCTTGGCCACCATCTGTCACCTGCGAGGCAGCAGAGGGGTAGGAGATATGTGAGAGACTGGGTTGCACAGGGGTCTCTTGAGATTTTGAATGTGGAGGTGACATCCCCACGGGGAATGCTCCCCCTGAACGCGCTGCAAGGAGCTGGTGTGACCCTCCCTCCTTGTCCCACTCCAGCTGAGAAGGTGACTTCACTGGGGAAGGACTGGCACCGTCCCTGCCTACGCTGCGAGCGCTGCAGCAAGACACTGACCCCGGGGGGCCATGCTGAGGTAAGGGTGTCCCAGCCCCCGGATCCCTGGGCAGCACACACGGGGATGCCAGTGGGGTATGGCTGAGCTGAGCTGTGCCCAGCTGTCCCAGTTGGCAGCCCCTGCCTTTGCAGGAGGGCAGGGCTGTGAGGAGCAGCTCTTCAGCTCCTGGGGGAGTGCTGGGGGTGCTGGGCTGTCTGCAGGGACGAGCAGAGCAGGAGAGATGCCCAGTCAGGAGGACGTGTCCTGGGGACTGGATTTTCCCTGGCCCTGGGTGACATGCTTCTCTCTCTGCCCCACACAGCACGACGGACAGCCGTACTGCCACAAGCCCTGCTACGGAATCCTCTTTGGGCCAAAGGGTGAGTGCCTGGGGGCATGTGGGATGGGGAGCCAGTCCAGAGGCACTTGCCCTGCCTGGGCTGCCACTCTCGATGCTCGTGTCACCACCCAGAGGAGACATCCATTCGGGTCCTTACCTTCTTGCATCTTCCCTTGTGCAGGTGTCAACACTGGAGCTGTGGGAAGCTACATCTACGACAAAGACCCCGAGGCAAAGAACCAGCCCTAGATGGCATCCCCCCTCCTGCCTGCCTGCACGCTCTGTGCCCCCATACTAACCTCCTGCTCACAGCCAGAGCAGACCCTCACCAGGCTGGCCATGGAGCTGTGCCCTCTCTGCTGTCTCCACAGCCCCGCCCCTGGGTTATATGTCATAGTCTTTAATATAAGCTTCAGTGTTTAAAGGCAAAGATAGAAGGTATTTCTGGTGGTTCCCAATGCGCTCTGCCCTCCCCAGCCCTCCCACCAGTCCTCCCAAGCATGGGAGGCAGCAGGGCAGGTGTGGGGATGTCACTGTGTGCAGGGGACAGCAGGTGGCACCCAAGGGACTCAGGATGGGGGGAAGGTGGTGTCAGGAGGTGCTCCATGCAGTCTTGCAGCGCTCAGGAATGGGGGCTGGGGATCAGAGCGCCCAGCCCTGTTCCTCACCAGTTGCTGGGGTTGTGTGCCATCTGCAGCTCTGCCCTTCTGGCCATCCTGGGCTCCATGCCCTGGCTTCCACTCTCCCCAGGGTCCACAGCTGACCCTGTCCGCTGTTGTGTCTGGCACCTCCCTACATCCCCATCCTTGAATCCCTGTAGGTGCACCCAGGAAAGTGCCCAACCTGCTCTGCTGGCTGGTTTAGGTTGGTGCCCTCCGCAGCCTGACCCCCTTGGAGGCAGAGCCTGTGCTGGGGAGCACCTGGCAGCTGCAGCCCTGGTGGAGTGGGCTCTCCCCACCTTTGGAGGACAGAGCGTATTGGGTTGGAGGCTTGGCAGTGGGATGCCTGCCTGCTTCCTGGAGCCGGAGGTTTCTTGTTTATTTATAACCAGTTGTAAATGTGCCCCTTGCTTTGGAGAATGACACGTGCCCCCACTCACCCGTCCACCCCTGTGCACACCCCCCTGCTGCTGCCCAGGAGGCTGGGGAGGGGCTGGTGTGGGGGACCCGCAGGGGCAGTGAGCCCTGGGTGCCAACACCCTGCTCTCTCCAAGCTCCCTGTGCTGCTGCAGGGCTGACTTTTGTTATTTGCTGACAATAAAGGTTTTGAGAGATGCGTTGTGCAGCTCAGCTGTGGGTGGAGGTGGGGGAAGCTGTGCACGCCATAGAGCATCCCCCTGGTCCTAGGACAGTGTGGAACCCTGCCACTATGATCCTATCCCAGGTGGCTCCTCCTGGGGCCAGACCAAGCAGCCTTAGCGCCAGCTGAGCCTTATCTGCCCAGGCCAGAGCTCCTCTAAGTGCAGTGCAAGCCATGGCTGCTCCTTGGGCTGTGAGCATGATGGGCTTGTAGGAGGCTGTGCTGCCCTGGCAGCTGGGGTGGGATGGGATGGGATGAGATCTCTGGCTTTGGAGGGTGGAAGACTACTGGGAGAAAAGTTACGGAGCAGGTGACACTGTTCTCCCTAGGTTGGGCTTGCTCAGCAGGCGCAGTACCTGAGCAGGGCTGCCAGTGGGAAAGCTCAGCCTGGCAGCAGCAGGGCAGGAATACAGGGTGGGCCACTCCCCATCCCCAACTCCTGGGAGCCGCCAGGTCCCCAGCCAGATACCAGCATGGCTGCCAGGTCTGGTTTTAGACATCTAGCTATTCCCCCTAGGAGCTTGGTGTCTGGAGAGCAAGGCACAGAGACTGGGGCTGCCAAGGCAAACACCAGCTCTGGGAATCGCTGCTCTGGCTCCTCCCTTCCATCACATTCTTGCAAGAGCCCGGTTATGCTGCCTGCTGGCTGTGCTCCCCCCAGGGACCTAGGCATCCCTCTGGCCCCCTTTCTGGGGAAAACGGGGACCTGGTGGTCTCTGCAATATCTTGCATCCTTGGAGTAGCCCCAGCCCTGGAGCTGCTCCACTGCCATGAAGGAGAAGGGGAAGGAGACTGTGGTTGCCAGCCACTGTCCCTGGCCTTGCTTCTCACCTGGGCACAGCTGGGAAATGCAGTGGGCACTGCAGAACTGGGACAGCAGGGAGCCTGTGGCCGCAGCCACATTCCTGGGCTTGGGCAGAGCAGTGGGGGTGAGAGCCACCAGTGTTCCCCTCCCGGCAGCAATCCCAGCAGCATGAAGCCTTTTCCCAGGCACAGAGGGCTCAGCAGTGCAGTTCCTGGGCCAGGGAATGGGCTCTGTGTGTTCATGTTTTGGTGGTGTTTCCATAGAGACTTGACCCCTCTGATACTTTAGGGACAAGGCTGCTGTGTAAATCAGAGCCGTGTCGCTCGGCTGGCTCCTCCCCTGACCTGCAGCACAGACCTGGGCCCTCACAGCCCAAATTTGCCAGGTTTGCCCTGTGTACCAGCAGCAGTGCTGAGATGGGGGGGTTCCCATCACTCATCCGGGATCCAAACCAGCTGCCAGCAAAACCCTTGGCATGAATCCATCTCTCCTTACAACTCTTTATTTCCCATCATTAATTAACAAGCTTAATATGGCAGCCTCTTTTCTAGCCTGTGGCAATCCCCTGCAGCAAGGAGTTTCCCTGATGGACTGCAAAGGCTGATTTTCCTCCCCAGCACCCATCTGGCTCCATGCTGTGCACCCAGCTGGGTCCAGCAGCCCTAACAGCATCGCCACTGTGGGCACTGGCCCTGGCCCATTGATGGGGGGGCCAAGCAGCAGAGCCCCTCTCCAGTGCCTCCAGTCGCCATCAAACACAGGATTTTATTTATTTATTTATTTATTGCTTACATTTTCTTTTCCCCAGGAGAGTTTTACTGTAGGAATGCAATGAAATTAAAAATAGACAAAATTCAGCTCTGCTGCACGAGGGGGTGCCAGGAAGCCTGCATCTGTCACAGCATCCTGCTACCCCAAAGGGGACAAGCTGGCTGCTCAGGCTCCAGGTGGGAAATGTTCCCCCCTTCTGAGGTGGAGGGGTGGGGCTGGGCACCCCTTGTGACAGAAAGTAGTCCCCAGGTTAAAACTGTTAAAACCAGGAACCTGGAGGCTGTAGCAGGGCTTTGGGATCCCATGTGGGATTATCTGTGTGTGTGCCGAGGGGTTGGGGCAGTGCCTGTGCTACCAGGTCAATGTGGGGGCCAGGGCACAGAGTGGCACTTTGCTCAAGCAGAGAAGGCAGCTCTGGCCTCTAATCCTTGGTGCATTTTTGTATTTATTTTTGGGAGGCCTATGTGAGCTGAAAATGCTCCTTTACTTGAGGCTTGGAAAACATCCTTCCCCTCAGGGATGTCAAATACTTTATTTTTTTTTCAGCTTGGACTCGCTAGTGGGACAAAAAAGTTACAGGCTCTGATGATTACAGACATGCTCTCCAGGGTACAGAGCAAAATAGAGAATAAAGTGGATGCAGCTTTGCTTGGAAATCCCCCAAGCCCTGTGAACTTCTCCTGGGCAATTTTACTTGCTGGCTCCCAGGTTTCTTGGGAGCCAGTGGAGCTCAGCAGGGAGCTGGCCTTGGAGCTACTCACAGGGCAGGGATACCACCAGCTGGTGAAGGGTGTCAGCCCGGACTGTGGGTGCCAGCCTGGGTGATGGGTGCCAGTCCAGGTACCCCATAGCTGCTGGAAGAGCAGGATTGTCACCTAGTAGTGCTTCTCAACAGAAGGCTGAGGGTGCCCATGCCACCAAAAATGGGGCTGCACTGCTTGTGCTGTCCCTAGTAACCCAGAAAAGGGGTGGTGAGTGTAAAAGGCTGGTCCCAGAGAGGCACAGCAGGTTGCACACATGGAAAACACCAGGAAAGAACTTGGTGGGGGCAGGAATGATGAAGGCAGCCCTGTGCTACAGCATCTGAGCCAGTCCATGCAGGGACCCTTCTCCATGCAGGGATGGGAGATGCAACCACCATGGTGTGGAGGGGTCCCGAAATACAGGGAGATGGCAGGACAGCGTGGCTCTGATGTGCTGTGGGCCAGAGCAGCACAGCTGGACAGCGAACCAAGACAGATTTAAAACATTTGCTGGGAAGTCAATAAACAGGAGCCAAAAGGGATGAAGTGCTGGAAGATGTGATTTAAGATGGGATATTAAAAGCGACCGAGTAAGCACAGCTTGTTTCCACAAGGGCCGAGAACCAGCTCAGATACTCCCTGAAGTCAATGGTGTGGCTCTCCTTGGCTTGGATGAGCTTTGGCTTGGTCCCAGCAGGAGGTTGAATTATTGGGTGTAAATACTGGAGAGGGTGTAGGAGAGCAGGCAGGGATGAAGGAGAAGGAAAGGCACAAAACCAAGCAGAGGAGGATTTGGGTTCTAAACCCCCCTGCCAGTGCAGTGCACTGGGCTGTCACACAGGGTGAGCTGCTGGTGCAGGCTCTGGCTGTGGCACAGGCAAGGACGGTGCTGCCTGCCCAGCTTGTTACTGCCTGGGGGCATCCATGAGGAAACCCCTCCACGATGTAGGCTGATCTCTGCATCACCTGTGTGGGGTGAGTAGTTGGGGACCATCCTGGGGGCCTTAAGGCCCTGGGAGGCTTGCTGGGGGAGGAATACCTGTGCTGGTGGGATGGTATGCAGGCTGCTAATGGGTGTGCAAGCCTGCGGCTCCTGCTCTCCCTCTCCTCTTTCTTGCTCTGTCCTGGCCTTCTGTGTTGCCTGGGTGTGTCAGAGCACAGTAGCCATATCCTTCTCCCCTTCCTGCTCCACTGCCATGGTGTGACCACGCTGAGCAGTGTTGCTGACAGAGAGAGCAAACACCTCTGCACCCCTTTGCCTCACCTCCTGTGAATTTTTAACCAGGAATAAAAGGTGTGGCATCAACAGCCTGGACCCAGCCCAGGACAAATGGCACTGCTGGGTGAGTGGCCCAGGGCAGGGAGTGCTGGGGAGGTGATCCCTGGCATAGGTCCCCCGTGAGCAGTCCCTGAGCGGTGCTCACGCTCCCTGCCCATCCCCAGCATCCATGTGCATCTTCCAGGCAAGCAGACGCAATGCTTTGCAGGCACTGGGCAGCTTTCCAAAGCAGCAGGCGTTGCTTCCTTGACAATCCCGGCTCCGTTTGATAGCCACAATAGAAACAGCTAGGCTGTGCCAGGAAAATGCACCAAATCCTCCCTCAGCAGGATTTAGCCAGGAGGTTTCCTTGGGCTGCCGCTAATGGAAAGCTTGCAGAAAAGAGCAGATGGTAGTGGAGACTTTGGCCAGACTGTACTGAGGGAGACTGGGGGAGCGGTGCCTGGATGAAATTGGAGATTTTCCATGGAGCTGTGTCTTGGAGGGGTTGGAAAGGCGGATAAGGTCTGCCACACCCTTTTGTCCTACTGATGGAAATCCCAGACATGTCCCAGTTGCAGCCCACCATGGGCAGCCCTGTTCTTTCCATCCCCACCAAGCCCAGGAGCTGGCCCACGGCTCCGTGTTTGTTATTGCTCATGCAGTGTAATATTAACCGCGTGACGATAATTCACGCCTTGGCTCTGAGGGTGAGAGCTGACCTGACAAGGGCCTGTGTGGGCAGCCAGCTGCCTGAATATGCCTGGGAGCGTTTTTACAATTTCAGTTGGAAGCAGCCATGTGACTGCCCATGCCCATGGCAGGATGGACTCTGCACTGCGTCCCCGAGGGCAGATCAAGTTTTGGTGTGGCAGTGAGTGTATTTTTCAGGCTCAAACCATTTGGGGGATCTACAGCAGCAGTTGGCAGTGTGCTACTGGGTGTGCCAGAAACCCCCAGAACACCTCTTTCTAAGACCCTTCCCCAAGTCCCCCACTCCAAGAAGGCCTTTCCTGCTGCCGTACTGTTCCCAATTACTCCCAGCCGTTGGCCGCCTGTCAGCTTTATGAAGATGTATCCCAGAGGTTTTCCTTAAGGTATAATTTGCCCTGACAGCCGCTTTCATGCTGTTGTTTTCCTGGCTGTCTGGTAATGGGATTAGCCGCGTGCATATCCGGAGGTGATGGAAGGCAAGTGTTGGGGGGGTGCACGCCAGCCCCCGTTGAAGGGTACACAGAGTACACCGTGCTGCTCCACAGTTCTGCAGCACCGGCATCTCGTGGACCTTCTGATGGGATCACGCGCCTGGCAGCTCTCCCCAGCTTCTGCGGGGCTTGTTTTAAGCCACCCTATAATTTTCTTGTCAAATTAGAGTCCCATGCTGGGCTGTGTAGTGC